AGGAGGGGACAAAAGTGGTATCGGAGTATCGGCTGGCTTTTACGAGTACGAGTACGAGTACTTGATGCTGGTATCGGATCCGATTCCGATACTGGTATCGGTATCGGGACACCTCTAATCAGGATGTAAAATGGTTCAGTTTCTTGAAGAAAACCTGCTGTTTGTAGTCACTGTAACCCTGTTTTCCCTCTCAGCTAGTATTACTGCTTTGTGGTGATGTCATTGTTTTAATTAACGTAATTCTTTGTACTGTAACATCCCAGTTTGCCTTGCTAACACAAGATTGCAGGACATAAATGTGTCTCTGTGGGCTGCAAGGAAAAATCCAGCCTTGCTTGTATTCTCCTGGTAAATGATGCAATAACCCAAGAACACATTTGGTTAATCACAGCTGCAATTACAAGGTTTAGATGTGTGATCCTCAGCAGATTAAAAAATATATATATTTCCATAAAATCTAACTTTGCATAGCTGGCAAAATGATCATATTTAAACTGTTAATTCTTTCAAAGCAATCAGTTGTTCCACTTTTTTAGTTTAACCATAAGGTATTTAACTGAACAAGACTCGTGACACCAACCATATGCAGATGGAGGGTGTTGGAACAGAATTTAATTAACAAGTTGTGTTAATTACACCTAATGTCCCTGCTCAGGGGGATGGGGGAAAAGCTGCCAACTCATGTCTGTCTGATACTATGCAAGCAAAAAACTTCAGTTTCCATCACAACCAAGTAAAAAGCCATTTGTACCACTGTCAGTTTGGTTTACTATAAAATTAGTTATTACAACGTTAAATTAAAGAAATGAAATCATGCAGAATCCAAAGCATGTAGTGCATTAACAGTACCGTGTCTTTCTTTCTAATTCTTTTCAGCTCTGTCTTATGTAATCTGTTTTGTACACATTTGGTGAATAAAAGCTTGTTTATTGATATAACAAAATAAGATTTTCACAGGGTCATTGAGCTGAGATTACATCCAAACAAAAGACAACGTGTGATTCCGTCTGTTGTCGCTGCAGTGTTATTGACAGATGGTGAGAAAGCGCTGTTTCAGTGTGTTCTGGCGCTCACGCTCAGATTACAAATGCATCTTGCCTCATCGTTTCCACGCTGTGGGAAAACAATGAGAAAACAGTCACAGTGTGCTGGGCTGAGTCTCTATGCCAAGAGAGGTCTGCTCAGCTGTGATAAGCCAGAAGGTGGTCTATTCAACTCTCACACAGTATTAACACATTAAGACATAATCTCTTGAATATACCTTGATACTAGCTTCCCGCTGTGGTTTTGGAGCTTGAGAAGAAACGGTTTAACTGCAGGCGCTTTAAGGAGCCGACATCTGCGCAGGATATTGAGTCCAAGACCACAGTCAGAGCTCAACTTCCTGCCTGAGACACAGCAGAGCTTCATAAATGTTCCTGGGATGTTTGGATCACAACACATTAGTGTCAAATAAGAGAAACAGGTGAGAATGCGTCCTTTCTGACAAAAATGACCACAAGGGAACTGAGTGAAAGATACTAAAAAAGTAATGTGAAGAGTCAGTTGTAGCTTTAATATTTCAAATAAAAACCACACCATTTTAAAAATAAAAACCTGATTTAAACTGTCTCCGGGGTTTCTCTGTGTGACAGACGAGAAAAGACACAGGAGAAAACAGAGAAAGTATTTAAGGCCTAGCATTCCTTGAAAGAATGCATATCACCTACTGCCTCGTGAAACACTTTTAGACCAAAATCATCTTGTGTTATGATGGAGTTCAACCTACTTTGATCAAACCTTGTCAATAAAATTATGCACAATCCTGGGCAACATTGCAATATCTTGCATGGTCTGTTAGCACATGGGAGTGTGTGTTGTACAAGATTTGGCTGAAGATCGGTAAAATTTACTGACGTATAACCGTTTTTGCACACTGAAGTTGATTAAAAGTGGCATCCAATGTGAATTAGGTTGACTCCAAAAGTTGATCAGTTTTAGATGTACGGCCAATAATTACTTTGAATGCTTTATTTAAATGTGTCCACTGGTTCATGAAATATTTTGCCAACAGACAAACAGGGTTGATTCACAAAAGTCTAGCTAAAGCAAAAGATTAAGAAAAGGTGTGTGTTTGAAGTATCTCGTAGGGACTACATCTAGGAACCACCAAAATAAATTTTAGAATACAATCTGTAAAACTGGCTGAGTCAAAGGCAGTGACTGTGCCTCAATTCATGGGTTGCAGCCGATGTCAACTGCTTACGTCACTGCCCTGCGCCGTAGGCTGTCCCAATTCGTAGGCGCGTACTCATGAGGCCGACAAATGCGGCAGACAAAATCCCAAAAATGTCAGTGGCATCTGAGTAACCTATGTGGACGACGGTATCCCAGAATTCATTGCACCGTCAAAAAAGAAAAAAAGCTAATTACAGTATTTTTCGGACTATAAGCCACGACTTCTTTCCTGAACTTTGAACCATGCTGCTTATAGACCGGTGCGGCTTATACGTGGATTTTTTTCTTCAGCCACCAGGGGGCTCTTATGCTCCATTTGCTTCAACCACTCGCTTCAAAAACAGAAGAAAAAAAAAAAGAAAAAAGCGATCTCTTCCAGAGCCGACTGTTGACCAGGAAGCAGCGATTTAAAGATAGTCAATGGCCAAAAACTCATAAAAGGGGATAAAACAGACATTTTTCATGGTGGAATCTGACTGATAAAAACTTTGGAGCTTATTCCAGGACCAGTTTGTGGATAAACGTCGAGTGAAGAGCTGCTGACTTTTTTTTTTCGACATTGCACTTCCCGGGGAAGGAATCCCATGCAGTGATGTATGCTGGAGCAGGAGGGCTTTCCCAGCAGCTGGGCTCTGGGTTTCTCAGGGGAACTATGAAAGGTCAGTGCGAAAACAAACGCCGAACAATCATGTGACGGCGCTTCGACCGGTCCACAGCCGAGCGACCATACTGCCAGCTTAGCCGGAGGTGTAGCACCATTTTGTTTTAGCTAGTAGCAGACACGATACGACGGATCTTCGACAGACACGATATTGGACAGTATGTGGGCCCACATCACGGATTCGGTGAAAGCAGCAATCAAGAAAACAAACTCAATTCCTGCTGTTATTCTTGGAGGTACAACAAAGTTTTTGCAACCGCTGGACATCASTGTGAATCGTGCATTTAAAGCAGCCCTCAGCGGTGAATGGGAGGCTTGGATGACTGACGGGGATAAATCATTCAYAAAAACTGGCCGAATGCGAAGAGCGTCATTTCCTGATGTCTGCCAGTGGATYCTAACAGCGTGGAGCAGAGTGAACAAGTCCACCATCACAAGTGGGTTCCGAAAGGCTGGACTGCTACGTGACGAGGACACCACAGCTTCAGAGCCAGCCCGGGAGGACAGCGACACAGAAACTGAACAGGTACCGCTGTGTGACGCAGCTTTTTTGAGCTTGTTTAACTCCTACACTGAAGTTCGACGGTTTCAGTGCACCGGAGGACGATGAAAGAGACTTTTTGTTGGACCAGAAACGGTTAAAGAAAACTACCAAAATAAGGTCAGTTAAAT